ATATTTTTATTTCCTTTCAAATGATTAGTCTCAGTGTTCAAATTAAAAGCTCGCCCTTGTGCATAGCTAATTCTAGGGCTGCAAAGAGCAAATCTATGTCTACAGAAATAGCATTAAACAGTGAAAAATATTCTCATAATAAACACGATATTAAATGGATGCAATATACAAAAAGGGGCCCCATAAATTTTAATTTATTATCTAGATAATTCAATAAAATATGAAAAAAAATAGAAATAAAATAAAAAATAGTCATAAAAAATATCATCTTCAGGTGATTGACAAAGTTATGGTATCCGGAGCTTGTTCATGCATGCTTTCATTGATAAATTTGTCAAGCTGACAAAATAGGACATTAAAGCAGAACTTGTAACTCCAATTTAACTCCCTATCAGACAAAGATACAAATGTTACAACTTTAGCCCTGAACAAGTATGGAGTGCCGACATGGAGGGACTTGCAGGTGTTGCTCACCGGGAGCAGGGCCGGTGCTTGGATTTTTAGGTACATAGGCGAAGATGCATTTTTCCGCCCCCAAAATCTTCACCTATGTGCCTCTTAACCAGCCCCTCTCCCCTCCCCGACCATTAGTGGTCCCTTCCGTTCCCTGTCCCTTAGTGTTCTTCTCCCCTCCCCCCTTTCCCCCTCCCCCCTTTTTTCCCTGTCTCTTGGTGTTTCTCTCCCATTCCCTCCCTGTCCCTTGGTGCACCCCCCACCCCTTTAGTGGTCACACTTCCTGGTGTGTGCCTCCTACCTCTATTGTTGCATTGCAGAGCGGAGCAGATCCCCTAAAGGAGCTTCAGTTTTCTGTACCCGGACGGACTGACAGGGAGTGCTCTCTCTGTGAGCACCTCCTGTCAGTCTGGCCAGGTACAGGAAACAGAAGCTCCTGTACCGCGCTCTGCTCCACTACACTCTGTACACACTGACAGTCACACACTCAATGACAAACACACAGACGCCACTGACAGACACAGACTCATTGATCTGACACACACTCATTCATTGACACTGACAGACCCACACTGATTGACACTCATTGACAGACACACTGATAGTCACACACAGACTCAATGACAAACATACTCTCACTGATTTGACAGACACACACTCATACACTGACAAACACACTCATCATACACTGACAGACACACTCATACACTCACATGCACACACACTCATACAATCACTCACAGACACACAGACAGTCACTCACTCACAAACACACACTGTCACTCACAGACACACACCGAAGCACACAGTCACTCACAGACACACACACACACACACTGTCACTCACAGACACACGCTCAGTCACTCAGACACACACACTCATACAATCACTCACTCACACACACTCAGTCACTCAGACACACATGCTGTCACTCACAGACACACATGCTGTCACTCACAGACACACATGCTGTCACTCACAGACACACGCTCAGTCACTTAGACACACACACTCATACAATCACTCACACACACACACACACTGTCACTCACAGACACACGCTCAGTCACTCAGACACACACATGCACACACACTCATACAATCACATGCACACACACTCATACAATCACACACACACACTGTCACTCACAGACACACATGCTGTCACTCACAGACACACACAGAGACGCACACAGTCATTCATGGACACACACACTGTCACTCACAGACACACGCTGTCACTCACAGACACACACGCTGTCACTCACAGACACACACAGAGACGCACACAGTCATTCATGGACACACACACTGTCACTCACAGACACACACAGACACACGCTCAGTCACTCACAGACACACACACTGTCACTCACAGACACACTGTCACTCACAGACACACGCTCAGTCACTCACAGACACACACACACACTGTCACTCACAGACACACGCTCAGTCACAGACACACACACACACTGTCACTCACAGACACACACAGTCACATAGACACACACTGTCACTCACAGACACACACACAGACAAACACACTGTCACTCACAGACACACACACACAGACACACATCACATACATTCACTAATAATTTTATAAATAAACATTTTCCACCCAGCCTCCCTACCTGGAGAGCTGGTGTGGATGCTGGATCGGTCCCTGAGGGCTGGGGCTGCTGAGAGGCGCGCGGCAGTGCTGTGATCAGGCGCGCGAGGGAGCTCTAATCTCCATCCTCTGCTCCCTCGCGGGCTGCCTACTGATGACGTCATATTCCGGCTCCCGCGGCATCAGTAGGCAGCGCGCGAGGGAGCAGAGGGTGGAGATTAGAGCTCCCTCGCGCGCCTGATCACAGCACTGCCGCGCGCTGCGCCGGGGGTCAAGATGGTGGCCTGGCAGGAGGGAGAGCTTCCCTCCTGCCGGTCACTGAAATATTGCGCCCCCAGAGCCCGTGCGCCCTAAGGCGGCCGCCTGTGCCGCCTTATGGACGCGCCGGCCCTGACCGGGAGTCAGTCAAGTCCTGATTGTACATGACAATCTATACACCTAGACTCAAGGGAAGGCTTTTAGCCAGAAATCTCACGAAGAGCTTTCTCATCATTCATTCCTGAAAAACACTTCTAGGAATGTACTAGTGAACAGTTTATGGAAATTCCAAGCTACGGCAGCTGCAAAATCGGCTTAAGCGTTAAAATACGTTTTGAAAATGAAAAGCAAACAGGCCTGAAATTACAAACATATGAGTTCTCAAGTGCACGCATAGTGTATTGACATATAAAGAGAAGGAATTTGTAACTCACTCATAACATTGTTAGCCAAGAATGTGTAGCCGGGCTAGAGTATAAAATCCTTTCCAAAAAAAACGACAAGGAACTGCACTCTATCCCATCCCTCTGAGCCAGGGTGCAACCAAACCAGGACTCAGCACCAGATCCCAATTACAAAATGCATAAAGTACAAAGAGGTTTAGGCATTCCAAGGTTCAGAAAAGGCAGTTTATTGAACCCCAATGTCACGCAACATTTCGACCTACACGGTCTTTGTCAAGCTTGTACACAACAATCTCTTTGTACTTTATGCATAGAGTATAAAACACAACATATCTAAAAGAATGATTGAATTCATGGTCGTATTTCACGCAGTCAATGGATGAAGGTGACTTAGAACTTTTCAAGTAGCATTATGAAATATTTCATAAGCTTTTATTTAGCAAATAATTCTTCATAGCAACATTTATTTTGAACCAGGTACCAGAGATGTTTAGCAAAAAAGAGGACGATGGCCATCAACTTATAAGAGGTCCACAACATCTGTTCCAGGAGTCCATCAAATTTCAATACTCCAAAAAAAAAAAGGTAAGGTTCAAAGTCATAACAATCCAAAGTAGTGTATACTTAACTAAAATGGAACTGTAGGTGTCTTTATGAGGTAGTTGAGATTGTGCATGTTCTAGGACCTCTGTATGAGGGGTGATTTGGTATGCAAATGGTGTAGGTTAAGCCAGTGGAGAGGTTTGTACCCTTTACCCATGCAATGCAATATCGCTGGTGGTAAACAGTGTTAAAATAGCCTTACCCTTCAGAAATATGGACTCCTTGTATTGTCATTAGCAATTTAAGGAAACCTTATATTGACAATAATAATAATTTCTACTGGCTGTAGGCTGATCACATGCCGAGACCATGTAGATAACATAGTGACTCCAGAGCAGTCCCTACCAAGATTAATATTGTAATCTTTTTTAAGAGTTTCATCCTTTGATTCCCCATTTTGTTTTACTTGTAGGATTTTGTTGCATTATGGTAAATTGACTTTTGCTGTGGATATGGAAATCAGGGGATATAGCAGGCTATGCCACATGAAGTGTACGGTTGATGTATAAATTGCATTTGATGAATGCTGTGGTCTCTGTCCAACAATGGCACATTGAGTATGGTAGTTGGCAGAGGCGGCTGTGAAAATGGAAGTTGGTGAATGCATCACTCTGTCATGAGACAGTAAAGTGCTTTGTCACTGCTTAAACAGTAAATGGTCAAACCTCTGTGACATGGTGACAAGTGACGTGTGGTCGAGAACACATTTTATGACAGCAATAAACTGACTTTTCTTTAGGATAACACAATAAATATTCTTCTTCACATACATGGCTGTATATGCAACAGCTTTATGTTATTTCAAGGGATTTTTTATGACAGCCTTTTCCAAGTTTCCAGTAATGAATCACACTATATGTATAGGTTGACCTCAGCTTTGTATCTGTATGGATTAAGGATGAATGATCGCCTGATGTAGAGGTGACAGTTTTGATATAAGCATCAGAGTGCGATAGTCACTAACAATAGCAACACTTGAATAAACAGAAAAGACAAATGAAGACATTTCACCAGATATATATACATTTTAAGACATTGATGTAAAACAAGTTCTCGTTCGTCCTGTTTCTAGCATGATATTTTAATTTTACTCGGACATTGTGTTTGTGTTTGTTTTACTAGATGTTAAGGACTTTCAAACCCATTGTTCAAGTTAATATTAATAAATAAATTCAGTGTTTGACACACAGAAATAATTTGGACCAAGTGTTTATATGAATTGGGGATTAGAAGCTATAGATGGGAGATTTTAATATTAAGAGTGCATGTATCTATGAGCCACAAATAGCCAAAATATTTTAAAGATGAAGTATATCGCTAAACAGAGGTTTATAAATGGCGTGTATGAAAATGGTAAATAATTTTAGTGCCTCCAAAGTAATGTCTAACTACACACACATACATATACTATATGCCTGCATAAAAAAAAAGGTAGTGAGAAAGGCATTTAGAGCCAAGATGGCTGACAGGATCTCCTTACAACAAAGGGTAGATGTTGTGAAAATACAAATCCCATGATGCTTTGTCAGTCTTTAGAAAGACAAAGCATTATAGAAGCTTCAGTTTTTAATCATGTATAGGTGTACATTTCACCAATCCCTGCTGTAGAGTAATGAGGGAGATGTATCAAATCCAGTGGTTTTCCTTTGAGATTGTCCTATTTGTAGTAATTGGGAGCACTTTTTTTTAAATTAAAACAGAACACTTTAATAATTAACCCCCAACGTGTTTGTATGCTGTAAAAGATTAAGTATGGTACTTTAGTTTATTTGGAAACCAAATACATGTCCAAACATTAAAAGGCACATTTAAATAACCAACGGTTACACATATAATCATGTTTGCTGTATCAATAATCAGTTTCTCTATATGTGTGTGTCTGTCAGGGAGTGTGTCTGTGAGTGAGTGTGTCTGTCAGGGAGTGTTTCTGTCAGTGGGTGTGTTTGTCAGTGTGTGTGTGTGTGTGTGTGTATGTGTGTCTATCAGAAAGTGAGTGTGTGTGTGTCTGTCAGTGAGTGTGTGTGTGTGTCTGTCAGTTAGTGTGTGTGTGTGTGCTGGTCAGTGTTGCGATGGCCGTGGCTAGACATTGGAGGACCTGCAGGTGCACAGAGGCACGCAACACGATGTCACGTTTCAACGCAATGTCAACGTGCTCCATCCTCACAGGTTTTCAAGGAGTAGTGGGAGGATCTGCTTTGGCACAGGGTGCGGGCGGCACCATTGGGGGTATACCAGAGGCTGGACTCCAGAGTTGCATACTGGCAGCGGCAATGTGAGTGGAGTCTGCTTGTAGGCTAATTTTTTTTGTTTTGTTTTTGTTTGTTTTTTAAACAAGGGCTGGGGGTTTAGTAAAGAGAGGGGGGAACTGGGAATTAGTATAAAGGGGGGGACTGAGATTTAGTACAGAGGGGGGAACTGGGGTTTAGTAGAAGGAGCACTGGGGTTTAGTAGAGGGGGGTGCTTTTTTTTATACTGTACTTTTCAAAACAAATCTACGTTTCTATAAATATTTAAGGTTTGTTTGTTTTTTTCTGCTGGCCACATAAACTTAAACCTTGTTTGTTTGGCCCATGCTAGCCTCTGAGTTTGACATGCTTTATATACAGTATAAAAATTGCTATGCAATCCTATATAAAAAAAAAAATGTACATTTAAATACCTTTCATTTATCAAACCAGCCTTTGCAGTAGAAGAATAAGGGTTTTACAAATAATGCTTTATCCTTTGTTTTTCAATATTCAGACAGGGTCAAATTAAATATATCAAAAATGGTCAAATAACCTGCTTTTTTTTATTAGGAAACTGCATTTTTGGGGAATGCACTTAACCTTAAATCCTTTAAGAATGTTACAATAATATGTGTACAAAGGCACAATGCCTACATAAAGTAATTTAGCTGAGTGGCTAAACCAAGCATCTGTACTATAACGAGTTAAGAAGCTCTGCTGTTTGCTCAGAGCATTATATCCGAGTAAGGTGGCAAATAGGTCAAACAAAAAAATCTACTAATCCTAATTAGTTACCCTTAATTAGTTAATCTACACAATATTTATAGCCTAATGTTCATGTTTAACTTATTTTTTATCATTTTTTTTTTAGTTTACAGATAGTTTTAGCGAATAAAAGATTAATTTTTAAAAAAAATGTAACAGAATAATCTGCTTGCGATATGTCATTGAGTAGAGTAAATTGTGCATTTAAAAGAGAAATTACCCAAAATAAAGAATATTAAGTAATATATTAAGTAATATTTTGCTGTAATAGCGTGCTATCAGATGTTTTGCATATGGGTGCGTGCGGGTGAAGTTGCAAGCTTGTGATGTCACCTTTGGCACTCAAATTCTTTTTCATTATTTCATATCTTTGTTGATTTCTGTTATTCTGAGACTCTCAGGAAACGTACATCCATATGTTAGACTTCTCTTCTAAGCTCAACTAGTAATGCGATTATACAGCCATAAGTTAATTAAGTTGGGGGACACACACACAAGTATATCAAGTTTAATCTTTCAGTTTTGTTGATTCAAGAAAGGGAAAATTAATTCACTCACAGCATTCATTGCTTCAGTGTGTTTACCTTCTGTGTATATGTGAATTTAAATGTAAGTATCAAATTTATCTACAGCAAACTGAAATTCACAACCACACAAATCCAGATATAGACAGAGATTTAACCCAATACTTCAAAGTCAGACCTGTCTACTAAATCCTTCCCTTTAAACAGCTTTACATAAATCTCTCTGCTTCAAACGAAAGTAAAGTAATTCCTGAGCTAAATTTTGTAATTAAGATCACATATGTTTGTGTTTGCTTCTGTTAACAATAAAATGTTGTTTTACGATAACTTAAGTGGGATCATATCTCACATATAAAGAAAGGATGGATGCACGGATGGACAGACAAGAGAATTGACAGTTCAAAATTAAATGTACAGAATTTTTTTTGGGAGAATATAAACTATTTAGTAATCCATTCAAATAGACAGGTGTACGGACGGATTCATTTACCATATAGACTACATTCTGAAAAAAGGTTTGTGCTTTGAATTATTCAATGTTTATGCATTCTAAGAGATAACTATTTCTGTAGAGTAACAGACGGACAGACAGACAGACAGCTAGCAAAATGAGAGAGTGATGCTGAGGGAGTCAGGTAGTGATAGATATATTGAGATATCTTAAGAAAGAGATATAGTGAGGTATTGGGAAAATAGAGAAATGGATTGAGTCAGAGCAAGAAAAATAGATGAGAGAGGGAGAGGGAGACAGGAAGATATCACAAGTTTGAGAAAAAACTACAGAGAGGGAGACAGAAAGAATTATTAAAAGAGGAATAGCAAGAAAAAGAGTGAAAAGGGGAGAGACAGAGACAAAAAAAAGATCAATCAGCAGATTAGGAAAAAGATTGCTGTGAGAGATTGAGGGTAAAATCATCAAGAGGGAGAAAGAGAAGGAAAGAGAGGGACAGAAGATAGATAGACAGACAGACAGACAGAATAGACAGACAGATAGATAGACATTTTAAATCCTTTAAAAACCTTGAAAAGTAATTCTATAAGTAAATGAAATAGTTATTGCTAGTATAAGGTTTTTTCTATAATAATATGTGTAAACAATATTAAAACATTTGCTCTTTTCACAGGCTAGAATGTAGATATAATAACAATTTCTGCCACTGTTTCGCTGTGGTCATCTTAACATTGTTTCCCGATTGTTAGAACTTCTGTGAGAGCAGCTTACCCAAAAACAAGGCAGCGGGCATTATGTAACATCAGCTGGCACTTTCAATTTGTGATCGGAAAAGCAAAGTTTAGTTAGAAATCGGTCATTCAACCTTTATGTAAAGCAGCTTTTTATATGGTAACAATGTATAGCCTTGTACAGTGCTACATCACAGCATAGAATGTTTCACAATAGAAACCAATGTAATACTTCGATTATAATGCAATACAATATCACCAAGAATCAGTGAAGTTATAGCATATTCAATTGCTATTTCATTATTTTGTCACGAACGCTGTCACATAGAAATGATTCTGCTATAAACGCATTCGGTTTTCAAAAGCTTTTTATTCTTTATTTTCGCATATATCTGAGGAATGCAATTCATGCCAAGTGGATATTTTGATGTGTATAGTTATGCGTATTTTATAAAAAATTAATTCCCATTTGGGTGGGAATTATATTTCAGTTTTTAAAAACTATTCAAAGGGCTCAGATTTATCAAGAAATATATTCTGACTTATGACTGCCTGTGTTTATTCCTAAGAATTAGAGAAGCTGGATCTGACAGCAAGTTATCAAATAACATTACCCTGTCTCTTGGACTGAGCTGAGAAACCACACATTCAATAGATCTGGTTTATACATGCTTCCTTTGCTGACAGCTGACCTGCATAAATAAAGTCTAGATGAATATATATCTAAAAAAAAAACCCCCAGAAATGCATAATAATTTGTGGCAAGGATTTAGCTTATAAAGATTTGGTTTGACTGTCAGGCATTATGCTAAGATAAATAAATTGCGGGGTATACTAACATATATAAAAAATATTAACATCTTAGCATGTTTTATGGTTTCATAATGCATTCATTCCCCCCCCCCCAAGATAATTCCATTTATTTAAAGTTTTCTTTTTTTTTAGTACAAATATAAGCAAAAAAAGGGACACTATTGACACCTAAACTACGTCATCTTATTGAAGTTCTTATAGAGCCTGCAGTCCTGCCACCCCATCTAAGCCCAAAACCCAATTTTAAATTAACCAGAAGGCTTGGAAGCTCAGCATCAAGCCTTACCTCCAAGCATTCTGGCTATGAGAGCCAGGAATCTTCCTTCCCGACTCTCATACGGTTGCATACCATGAAAACACAAAATTTACTAATAAATCACACATCTTCCGAGGAATATGAAACCATTACAAAAAACATCCAAAAACAAATAGAAAAAACTGAAACAGAAACCATTCACACCAAAAAAAAGAAATACAAAAGGGATAAATATGATTATGACAATAATCAAGTCACCACATATGCCACAAAAAAGCGACACATAGATACACCAATACATGAAAAATCTAGGTATCAATATAACAGAGGTCATTCACAGTATCAACCAATCAAGAATTATTCAGATGCCGTTAGACAGGGAAACCAATACAATAGAAACAGGACCAACTCATGGCAAAGACAAGAAACATCACCATATAAGAGACATCACTCTAGAGCAAGATCACCTCACGCACGTTTCCCCACACAACAAACACAACCTATAAGGATTACACAAACACAAGATCAAGAGAGAAATAGCACAACAAGAAAAGGCAGAGAGAGATCACCAATCCTTACTAGAAATAGAAAGGAAATGTATAGAAACCACATCACCACTTCAAATAGGTTTGACACCTTAACGGATAGACACGATAAGGATGATTTTTTTCAGGAGGGACGCCAAAAAGGCAAATACAAAGGAGCACAATCCCCTCAGGACATCTCCTTACCTCCACACACCCCCCCCAAAAGACAAAGGAATTTAAGAGGAGAGGAACTCGGGGTGGCAAGGCACTTAGGAAGGTAAATAAAGAAATCACCCAGACTAAATCTATTATCTTCAATTTAACAGGAGACCTTATACCAAAAGCACAACAAAAAATCCTCAACAAAGGACTAAAATTCGTACCCACACAACCACTAAATAAGTTTGACATATTCATAGACCTTAATAGATACAAAAGGCAATTATGCCTAAAAAAGTGTTTTATGAGAACAGATAAACTAATTAATCCAACTAATAACTCTAAATATATACACACGGACTTGAAAGCAAAATCCACTTTTTTCCCAAACAATTTCATATCTAAAGAAATGACCACCTTTGAAAAATTAGTGATGCAGGATATTAATAAAATAAAACCTAGAAACAAAAAACATATGAACTTAAGTAAAGAAGAATGGCTAGCCCTGAAAGCACTACAGAAAGACAAAAACAAGGTTATAAAACCAGCAGATAAAGGTGGAGGGATCGTTATTATGAAAACGGAAGATTACCTCAAAGAGGGACTCAGACTAGTAGAAGACACAACAACATATCAAAAATTAAATGGAGACCCAACAACCAGTATCAAAAATAAATTCGAAAACCTACTGAACAAAGGAAAAGAAATAGAAATATTAAATGAAAAGGAATATAAATATATTAACATTGTTAAACCAAAAATCCCAGTCTTCTACCACCTTCCCAAAATTCATAAACATTTAACCAACCCTCCAGGTAGACCGATAGTCTCAGGGATAGACTCTGTATCCAGCAGACTATCGGAATACCTGGACAAATGTCTACAACCTCTGGTTCAAAAAACTCCAAATTATCTTAAGGACACACTAAATATTATACAAACACTACAGCATATTCAATGGGAACCCAACTACATCCTGGTAACGGCAGATGTCAGTTCCCTTTATACCATCATTTCACATACGAAAGGGCTAGAAGCAGTGGAATTTTTTCTCAAAAGGGATAATGTTTATCCAGAAGAACAAATAAGTTTTATTATGGAAGGAATAGATCTTATCCTTCATAATAACTATTTCTGGTTCAACAATGAATTTTTTCTACAGAAAGTCGGTACCGCTATGGGGACAAGGTTCGCTCCTAGCTACGCTAATTTATTTATGGCTTACTGGGAATCACAATTTATAGATAATAATTTGGAATGGGGAGCGAACCTTGTCTCCTATAAACGGTACATAGATGATATTTTTTTAATTTGGAATGGTTCAGTGGATCTTTTAAAATCATTTTTAACCTTTTTAAATACAAATGACTGGGGAGTAACATTAACCACAGAATACAGTAAAGAAAGTGTTAATTTTTTAGATTTAACTATTTTTATAGAAGACAATAACATTAAAACAAAAACTTTTTTTAAACCAGTAGATGTAAACAATTATATCTACCTAAATAGCTGTCATTTTTCTCCCTGGCTAAGAAATATACCTAAGGCACAACTAATGAGAGTTCGTAGAAACTGCACTGATCAAAGCACTTTTGAGATACAGGCTATAAAAATCAAACAAGACTTCATGGAAAAGGGATATGAAGAAATCTCTCTCACAAACACTATAGAAGAAGTTAAAACCATGGAAAGATCCTCATTACTAAAATATAAACCAAAAAGCGTAAACACAAATACAAATTTGCCATTTATCTGTAACTTTAACCAAGAAAGCCACAAAATCAAACAAATAATAAACAAACACTGGCCCATGCTAAGGAATGATCCTATGCTATACTCTATACTACCAGAGAGACCGAAATTAGTATACAGAGGAGCTCCTAATTTAAAACAAAAATTGACACATAATCACATTAAAGAAAACACACCTACCCCCTTTTTTCAGAAAAATGTTTTTTTTGGCTGTGGACAGTGCCTAGCTTGTAGAAGCACAAAAAGCACAAAAAGACACATTACAGAATTTTGCGACTCTAAAGGGGAGAAAAAATATAAGATACGCCAAATGATTACGTGCTTTTCTAAGAGAGTTATATACGTTTTAAGGTGTTCTTGCAATTTATTCTATGTTGGTAGAACAAAACGCCCTCTACAAACACGAATAAATGAACATATCAGAAACATTAAAAAAGGTTTTGATAAACATAGTGTTTCAGAACACTTTAGCCTAATACATAATAAAGACCCTCAATTTCTAGAATTTATGGCTATCCAGAAAATCACACTCAACTGGCGAGGGGAAGATGAAATTAGAAAATTAGGAAAAATTGAAACAAAATGGATTTTCGATCTTAATACTCTGGCCCCCACAGGTCTAAATGCAGACTTCGAATTATGCCATTTCTTATAAACTAGACTATATATAAATATAAAATACACCAATTAACATCATTGTTTCTCATTGGGCTCTATTTTCAGCACTATTCCATATAAGAGTCCCTACTGCTTCAAATAAAGAATAATTAAGTGTATACTAATTTTATATATTTAGACTAAAACAAAAAACAGTTGGAATTTTAGATATGAACAAAATGTGGAATATGTTTGCACAAATATTATTTCATAAAGAATGCACACTTTGAAACAAAGGTCACCTTTTTACACTGTGTCTAATGTGCATGTTTTTTCTATGTAAAAGATACTATTGCCTAAAATAGAGATCAAATAGTATGACAAAAGAGTTGAAATATAATTATAGTTATTGCCTTTCAAAATTTAGAACACATATGGAGAAATAGTAATATATGATAAGACATATACAATAACATAACATTTTATTATAATGTTTCTTTTTTCTTCTATTTGCATTGTATAACTGTATATGAGCCAAAGAGGGCTCTAATATGAACTGCAAAAAAACCCCCAGTGCGGACTATATTTCCCACAAAGAACCGGCCGAAAACCGGAAGTGACGCGGTAAGCGCAAAGCACTCTGGATCTTGTAGTGCCGAAAACCGGAAGTGACGCGACGGCATTTTAGCCGCGTCACATGACACAAAAGGACCAATCTGATTGGAAGATGACATTTTAGGCGGGATTTTGGACACTTAAATTACAGAACATGAAGAGGACACTCACAAGCTGACTGAGGAAGCCGTTTTTACCGGCGAAACGCGTTTTGGCTTTTAAAGTGGACTCATTATTTTTCCTGAACCACCAATACTTGCAATAATTTGTTCTTATCCAATTTTTTATTTTCTAGAAAAATATTTTTATACTGTTTTTATATATATTGTAATAAATTCCCTTATTTTATACTATCCACTGTATCCAGCACCAGTGATTCCAGGGAAGGGGCAGTGTCACCCCACAAACTGACACTAGGCCTATACACTTAGAGCCAGTTACCAAAAGGCTCTAAATAAGGTGAGCACTTCAATTTGTTATTTATAAGAAAATATCATAGAGGATGCTACACTTAGTTGGATAATTCTGTGTCTTTCATATATACGCTGGGGAGAGAAAAAATACACACTTAACCTGGAGAGAGGGGTCGTGTGATCTACCCTTAAAGACACAGATGCACGAAAGTTTAGAGCCTAATTCACTTGAAAAGGCTCTAAAAAATGTGAGTGGAGATATATATGTTACCCACTAAACACTTCACTAAAGTAATAGATATACTGCACAATTATCTGTATATATTTCTGTTTTCTTTTGTATATGTATTACATTGGAGAATATAAAGAATAATTGCCTTTGAATCACAGGTAATTCACTGTGTTTTCACACACTACACAGCGCTGCACTCATAAAGATAGAAGACCTGAGGGGTGGTAACACCCATTAGATCTGAAATCTTTTTCGTCTTTTGGTGTTTATCTTTGTATGGTGGGCTTTTAGGAGTACCCATAGAGTGTAAACAGCAGCTAAAATATACTGTTCACATTAATTACTCAGCGCCACATATTCCACACCTATTGTTAATATATTCAATCCATTTATTTAAAGTTTTCTTTTTTTTTAGTACAAATATAAGCAAAAAAAGGGACACTATTGACACCTAAACTACGTCATCTTATTGAAGTTCTTATAGAGCCTGCAGTCCTGCCACCCCATCTAAGCCCAAAACCCAATTTTAAATTAACCAGAAGGCTTGGAAGCTCAGCATCAAGCCTTACCTCCAAGCACTCTGGCTATGAGAGCCAGGAATCTTCCTTCCCGACTCTCATACGGTTGCATACCATGAAGTCCCGCGTGCATGACTCCCTATGAAGGAATTGAAAGTGGCTAAGTGTCTATGAGGCATGCCTTTCAGGATGACACCACACAAGGTGGCATCACCAAGGTAAAAGGTGATTTATTTATGTATTTTGTAAGATGTGGAGGGGGGGGGATAATAATGGGCATCAGGACTGTAGCATTAGGAATACAGGTAAACAAGCTATAACTTTTTGTATAATACACTCAGTGGTCAATGCCATTATAATAGATAGATCTTTACACCTCATTAAAGGACCACTCTAGGCACCCAGACCACTTCAGCTTAATGAAGTGGTCTGGGTGCCTGGTCCAGCTAGGGTTAACCCATTCTTTCATAAACATAGCAGTTTCAGAGAAACTGCTATGTTTATGAATGGGTTAAGCCTTCCCCCTGTTTCCTCTAGTGGCTGTCTCATTGACAGCCACTAGAGGCGCTTGTGCTTCTCACTGTGATTTTCACAGTGAGACGCAGCGTCCATAGGAAAGCATT